AATGGCCATTTAATGTAGTGATGTAGTCTATTGTCAGTAGTGTTTTTAAATAGTATTCATTCTAGTTTTCATTTAGTAAATCTAGAATATCAATAATATAAATAATTATCATTATTATTCATTTATTTATTTATAATAGTTGAGAAAATGCCAGGAAGACTGAATGTGAGGATAGTATCAGCAAGAAACCTGCCCATTATGGATAGGTCAACTGAACTGACTGATGCCTTCGTTGAGGTGTGTGCTTGTGTGTGTATATGTATAGTTTTACGTGTGTGTGCATCTCTGCATGTGTGTTTTGTTACTTCTTATGCATATTCCTTTGATTATTTGGTCTGATTTATTCATAGATTATAATTATAATGTGATATTAACTAAAATACTAGTTTATAGCTCAATTTCTATCAAAATTTTTTCCAAAATCTTCATTTGAAGCTTTTATTTTTAAATAATTTTTAATGAATTTTTAGATAAAAATTGGAAATAATGTCCAGAAGACTGAGGTCTGCAGAAAATCTTTGAACCCACAGTGGAACTCTGGCTGGTTTAAATTTGAGGTTAGATAGATGTTATTTATTCACTTTTTTAATCACTGATTGGTTAATTCTATTTTTGTAACTTAGTTTTATATTGTTTATTCACTTTGATTCTATTATAATCACTATTGGTTAGTTATTTTAAAATGTCAAAAAACACTTAAATTAGTTTTGTATTTTAAGGTTGATGACGAAGATCTGCAAAATGAACCTTTGCAAATAAGGTTCTTCAGTTTAATTTCAAATTAGTTTGATATGCTATTGATGCTTTTAAGAAAATAAATTTAGAATGAAATTAAATTTTGCAGAGTTTTAGATCATGACACATACACCTCCCACGATGCTATTGGTAAAATTTATATTGATTTAAATCCACTTTTGAATGAAAATAAATCATCATCAATATCTGGATGGTACCCTATCTATGACACAATGCATGGTTAGTGGTTTGATTGGTTTGTTGATTGATTGGTTAGTTGATTGGTCATTTGGATGTGTTATTATTTGGCTGGTTGGTTGGTTGATTGACTCATTTTTTTTCTAAACATTAATGCTTTTATTCATTCACTTATATTTTCATTCATTTATCCACTAAATTATTTATTTCTCCATTCCATTCATCTATGATATCATTGCATTCATTTATATGTTGATCCATCCACCCATTTTTTGCACACACACACACACACACACACACACACACACACACACACACACAAACATACAGTTCTCACTCACACACACAAACATACGCACACACACATAAACACGAACACACACACACGCTCAAACACATACTTACGCGCGCACACGCATACGAACACAGGAATTCAAGGCCAGTTGTACGTGATCATAAAGATTAATCTCTTCTCAGACGTCAACAGGTTCAGGAAGTCATCATGTGGCGTCAAATTTTTCTGCAGTTAGTGTGTGGGTGTTTCTTGGGTGGGGTGGTTGTTGGGCGCGTTCATCTTCATCATTATCATGGCCACCACCATCATCATCACTATCACCATCATCACTATCACCATCATCGTTATCATGACTATTACCGCCATCATTATCAGCACCAGGTGTTCCAGAAGGTTTTTACATAAATGGTATGCAGGGTTTTGTTGAGGAACTGATCGTTAACGATGACCCAGAATATCAATGGATTGATAAAATCAGGTCAGGTCAGGTCTGGTGTCAAGCTCACGTTCGACACTGGGCATTCATTAGCATAATGCATAATTTGTTGACTCATTAATATGCAAATTTGTGCACTGTACCCTCAATACTTTAAAACTTTTCATCCTAAATATCGATCGATTTTTGACGTTGCCATTACTTTTTAGACAGCAATACTTTTGAATGTCATGAGGATGAGTTTTTAATCATGATCATTTAAATTTTCAAAGTTAAGCGCCTTTTCCAATTGGTAAATTCGTGATTGAAAATTGAGTTTTGCCGATTTTTGCATGTTTGTTTTCAAAAACTTGTTTTTTGCCAGCTGATTCATACAAATTATCCATTGTACGTGTATGTGTGTAGCAATTAGTTCATTTTTTATGTGTGGTTAGGTCAGTATAAATACCGTTAAATAAATAATAGATCGGTATTGATTAATTTGTTAACATGTAAATAGGTCAGTATTAATTTATTACTCAATTGGTCATAATTTAATTAGGTCAATGAGAGCATCCAATGAAGCTAGGCAGATGAGATTTAGCAAGCTATCAGGTCGGTGGAATGATGACGTTGATGATGATGGTGATGATGATGATGTTTATTAGAATGATGTTGATGATGATGAGGATGATTTGTGATAATATTGATTGTGATTGTGACAAATGGTGGTTTTAAAGTTCTACTGGCACGAATTTAGTTATTTCGTAACGCCAGCATCATCACCTGTTTCAGTTCAGTGCTCTGCAAACTTTTTGCTTCCATGGACCGTGTAAAGTATTGTCGAATTTAACTGACCCCCACCACCACCAGACGAGTTTTTGTTTAGACTTCGAATGTTTTCGTTACCAATTTTAATTCAAAATAAAATTACAATATTTCAAAAGATCATCGATTAAATTGATGTTACTTAGCAGTTCTAG